AGGCTGAGCCTAGTCCATGCCAGGGAATCGTTGGCCCGCGTCCTCAGATCCAGAGAGAGAGCAAAAGAAAGCACCAGGAAAGATCCTTCTTTGGAGGAAAACAGTTTATTCTCTGTGCACAGTGACAGCCAGCAGAATAACTTCTGGAAGACTGGCTGCCCAGAAATACGCCTCTGCAGACTTTCTTATACCTTGAGAAAGCTCCCTCCCTCCTCCCCCAAACGCCCTCCAAAAACTTCCCCAATCAACTGGAAAGTTTTTAACTTATTTTTTTTATATGGCATGGCATATCTATAATGCTAGCCCTCTATGCAGCCCCCCTCCCTATTTTCCCTATACGTGTCTTTCTAAGCGTCCTGCATCCCCTCCTCCCGTCTCCCTCGTATGTGTCTTTCTTATCTTACATTCCTAAAGTAAGAAAGCGAGGGGCCTCTGGTTATTTCTAGCTTACAGTCTCCTTCATATGTGTCTTTCTTATCTTGCATTCCTAAAATAAGAAAGCGAGGGGCCTCTTTTGCAGAAGTCAAATTAGCTCAGAAATTTACTTAGATCCAAAGTACAGAGAATATAGAAGATCCTTCTTAGGTACAAGGTACAAGGTATAGAAAGCATATAGAAAGCAACCCTTCCCTCTCCCTTCACTCCCTCCTCTTCTTATGAACAACCTAATACTTAGGTTCGTTCTGGGGTAGGGGTCTATAATCTCTCATGAAAGCAAGCACACGAGGTCCCATCATGCGAGACATCATCTTCTCCATCATACTTTGCATACATTGCATCAAGCAGGGCATACAGAAGCAGAAAAGCAATAAAAGCATTATTGGACCTATCACCATAGTAAATATCCTCCCCATCCATCCACCTGGGAAGATGCCGTCCAACCAAGACATATCCCAGCCCTCCCAGGTTTGTACAGGGACATGTGCTACCTTTTCAATGCTTGCTGCCAGATCACGGATAGCCTCGCCATGGTCTGAAATGTTGAAGCAACATGCTCCACCTGTCAGGTTCAGGGCAGCACAAAAACCTCCTTGCTTAGCTAAAATGAAGTCCATTCCCAAACGCAATTGGAGAATAGCCGTTCGGGTTTCATCTAGCTGGGTGGCAACAAGACGGAGGGCGGTGGCTGTAGCATTGGCCACAACTTCCACCACTGCCTGGAGCCTGATGATTCGATTGAGATTGTAAATGGGCTCTCTGGCACCTGCCACTAACTCATCAGGGTTCCAGGAGGCAGGATCATAGTGGGCAATTATCCGCTCAGGTGGCCATTCGTCCTTTCCCCAGGTTTGTTTACTACCCCCCGCGATGTTGGAGATATCAGCAAAGCGGCGGTTACGATGGGATGGGGAAGAGGGTATCCACATTGGAGGTACAAGAAACGCTGGAAAGCAGACACCATATCCGTTCTGTGGATAGAGGTGATAAGCTTTTGTTCCACAAATCCAATAAATATTACTGCCGCGCTGAGAAGAGGTCCAGCTGGCTCGAGAACCTTCCACCATGAGTGCAAGGTTGGTACAAGCCCCGCCACATTCAGAGATGTCCAAAGGACTACCACATGTACATTTACATGATGACCGTCCTATAAACCTCGTATAGTTGTAGACGGTATTTCGGGTTTGATTAATACAGAACCATCCAGAGACCCTATAAACTCGTAAAGGAGCTGAATGGTTCCAATAAGGAGTTGGGCGGGATGGACTATGTGTATATTGGATCTGAGAACGATTGAGGGGTATGGGGAGCATGGGCATTCCTCCTCCTCCATCTAAGGGTCCAAGGGTACAAACTAAACAAGCAGTTTTATTTGCTTCATGGGCTACTATTTCTGCCAATTGAAGCCACTTGTTATAGAGACTCTGAGCCCCCTGTTTTCTCATTTCCTGTGTGGGGAAAATGCTATTACGATTTAAGACCTGGAAGCATTCGGCCTTGGGAATAGATTCTCCCATCATAAATAGGAGAAGGATCATCAAGGGGATGGAGGGGATCGCTTCCTTCCAAAAAACCTATGGCGCTCGTGCCAACAGAAATACGAGAGCATCCATATGACAAGGGCGATACATATCACTCCTATCCACCAAACCCAATATCTCCATGGTTCCTCCCACCAAAAATCAGGGTTCATTTCTAGTTTTCTTTTACAGCTGAAGGGCCCACTGATACTCGTATTCAAC